ACATAATAAGGTTGAAACTTGTGAAATGCTAAGATCCTTTTTGAATGGTTTAGGTACCGAAAGTGCTAAATTGAACACGAATGGATTGCTTTTTAGGCTTCATATTAATTAATTGAGCTGAATCTTTTTAACTGTTTTGTGTGGCCATTCAAGTTCCAACTCAGATTTGAATGCATGCTTCTCTCTCTTCACCACACATAAGATCTATAGAATTATAGGATTACACTCCCAGAATTTTATTCGGTAATAATAATTTATGGTTTAAACTTATTTTATACATGAATTCAATATTATATAAATTTAAACTCCATTTGAAAGTTAATTTATTGGCTTAAAAAGTAACAAATAAAAAAAAAATTAAATATCAAATTATACACATCAATCAAATTTTTTTTTTTCTTCACAACTCTAGTTAACTGTAAAAATCATTCCAAACACACTAATTTTTTTTCCAACTTATAATAAGGTTAAAAAATAAAAAAATTACTAAAAAAATCAAGTTACCAAATGGACATATAATTTAACAATTTGAGTGTAAATTAAAGTTCTTAAGTCACTTACCTTAACTTCAACATGGATTATTTGATTATTTTATAACAAATCATTACAAAAATCACGATTCAACTATTTTTTTTATCAGAAAAAAAAAGAAAAAAAAGAAAAAAAAACACTTTGTTGATTGAAAGAAGGTAGACATTATAAAATATCGAAGTAATCAACAAATGAAAAGTGGATCCGCATTGACATGCACTTTTTACCTTTTTTTTTTTTTTTTTTTTTTTTTTTTTGTGTGTGTGTGTGTGTGTGTGTGTGTGTGTGTGTGTGTGGAGAATTTACGAATTTCCTTCTCGCTTTCCAAAATTATCTATTCATGGGAAAGCATACTAAAAAATTTTAAAATTTCAAATATTGATTTGTGATTATGTTTCAATTTTTAAACAATAAATAATAATCCCAATCTAATAATCAAAGACAAAATGATACAATGATTTAACATGAAAAATCACAATTACAACGCCTCCAATTGTGATAAAAAATCACAAGCCAAAACTATAAAATAATCCCGGTAGGGCTACATGTACCAATTAATGTATTAACTAGTGTATCAACACTAGTTATGATATTATTCTTGATTCTACTTATTATACAAATTACAAACACCAAAAACTTCTTAAATTATGTCACATCATCAATTGGTACATTAGTTCGTATAGTAGTTGGTGCATATAGTATTATTAAGAAGACAAAAAGAAATTACACAAGTGTACTCTCAATTACCTAGCAAATCCACGTCCGAATTGAACCGATCCCAATGTGCCTCTTCCATTACTGTCTTCACCTCGGAATTGTCTTGTCTAATGTTGAGTTCACAATACTGATGTCGAATTCCTGACGATGAGCCACTTCAGAATTCACCAAAGCTTCAAGGCCAAATTTTTTAAAATTCACCGAAGAACAACTCTTTCTTTTTATGAATAAAAGAAAACAAACAAATCTCTTGATGATATTGATACAAAATTCATGAATTCATTGATCACTCTTAAATCATCAAAGAAGCACTCATAAAGCACCCTCCAATATAAAACACTTTGTTTTGTCTTTCTCTCTAAAAATTTGGACGACACAAACCTCAAAACGAGCAAATAACACACTTTATTGTAAACTAGATCATGAAGACTGTTTGAGCACACATTTCACCGATTGAGCGGTATGGCTAAAGGCAGTGCGAAACATATATGTTGATCATTCGAGCGCAACTTTCACCGCTCGAGCGGTAAAACTTTCTTCTCAGAAGTTTAGACGCTCTACAAAAGTACTGAATGATCATTTTCTTCATTTGAGTGCACAAATGACCGCTCGAGCGGTCAAATAATTTCGACTGTATTTTTGCTTTTTACTTCTTATTTCGGGGGTGTTGCCCCTCGACCCCGCCGGGGCACTGTCCTGGACCTGCCATAGGACGTTGCCCCCTAGATTCCCGCGAGCTGATCGGGCAGTTCGATCCCTGTATATAGTCAGCGAAGTGACAAACATGAAAGAATTAAGATCACAAACTTTTCTGTAAGGTACAATTCGGGTTGGATTTACATTTAAACACTCATAGTCTCACTGAAACAAAAAAACAAATTAAATTACAACTGAAATGAGTTTTGTCAAATGAAATTGCTAATTACCAAAACCTAAAGTTTATTTTAATTATTAAAGTTTGTAAAGTCTATAATTAATCTATTTTTTTCTTACAAATATACACTGAAATGTTATTTTTCCTTCTTTTTTTCACCCTTTATTTATGGGGGAAAAAATATTTTGGTATTTTGGACATTTATGTATACTAGGCATTATTTAATTAAGGCTATTGTTTCCTAAACAAAAATTATCTATTACAGTTTTGCCAAAACGCCTGACAGACTGACATATATATATTTTTTGGTACTTAGACTGACATATATATATAAATATATATCGGGTGCAAGATGCCCGCTTACTTCTACAACACAATCACACATGTATTCCATGTGCATCTCTCACTATTATAATTTAAATATTGAAAAAGTTCTATAAAATCTATCTAAAAGTGTGTAATGTGAATTTAAATGTAGTATTATGTGTGTTATTTATTCCCATTTCTAAAATAAATATGGTCTATACATTTATTGAGTACCTTTTTTGGATACTTCTCCTGAGTAACTATAATTGAGTGTAAGTAACTCTGCAAGTCTTGGGGCCAGGTGCAAACAATTTCTTGGATTCAGTTTATACGAGATTTTACTTTGGTTTTAGTTGAGTTCCTTGTCAGTGGATGTTGGCATTAATCTCTCAGATTAATTTGTTCACTGGACTGAATACTGAGTTATCAAAAAAACAATAGTAAAAAATTTGACAACCTTCTGGATCAATGAATGAATGCACAGAGAGATTTTTTTTGTGTGTGGGATATTAATCATATGGTATACTCATTTTAAATGTGATTAATTTATATAACAAGGTCTATCATTTACATATTAATGTTTTATCCAACAATTAATATGTCTAAAAAAATTTCGAATTGAAGAGCAGAGTTTGAAGATTTTGATGAGACGAGGTGGGTGACAACTGATCTGGAACCCAAAAAACACAAAATCCAAAAAGAATCGTTGACGTAGGGTGGGACGGTGAGGGTAGGAAGAAGTTTTGTCCCAAGTAGGGACAAATCCATCATTCTCGACCATGGAAAATAGAATTACTTCTATTAGCATATTATAGGAAATTATATAGTTTTTTTTATCAGCAAAAAAGAAACTTTATTGATGTAAGAGTAAAATATAAGGTACAAAACAAAATACATCAATAAAGAGAGGCAAGTACAAAAGTATCACGATGAGTTAAATCATTTCAACTATGTCAACACTAAAAAGTCCATCCTACCATTTGCTAACACCCCCAAAGTTGGTGAGCAACCAGCCAAAGAACAGAAGAAACTTCTCTACAACGATTAATAGTATATATTATTTGTATCATTCACATATAAATTTCTAATCGAAAGTAAAATATTTAAGTATGAATTTATGAATAAAATGTAATTGTTCAGACATTGTGCGAATAGTTTTACCCCCACACAAAAACAGACATGGCATTTTCTGTGTTTGGATTTTGGACTTTAAATATTGCCAATCCCTACACACCCCCAAGTCTACCACAAAATTATGTAACCAATATGTTACATGATCGAGTTGACTTGGTAATATCCTTTCAGTTATTAGTTGTTATGTAGTAAATATTAAATTCAAGAAGACACTTTATATTCAATTTGAGATGTTGAGGTCACATTAAACTCCGATTTTATTTATGGATAAACGTGTTCGTGTGATAAAAATTAAATTGATATAATTTGGAGTCCAAATATGAATGAATCTTAGCTATAGATTGATATTTCTAAGTCTCCTTCAGGAACACTCACTTTTAGTTTAAAAACTAAAAAATCATTAAGAAAGTTTAAAAAAAAAAAATTATACTAAAAAAATCAAAGATTTTTTTTCATTCACTCTATTTTTTGCTTATCTTTTCGTAAAAAATAAAAAATTTATTTAAAAAAATATTAATTTTTTTTACCTTATATTTTAGTCAAAAAAATCAAAAAAAATATATAAAAAAATTACTTCCAAACGACCCTCAATAAAAACTAATGTAAAATTTATAAATAGATTTATAGTATTACTTATTGTCTCTGGCTAGACGACATACCATACATTTTTTGGGGAAACTTCATAATGAATCTCACTCTTTTTTTTTATTTTTTTTTTATTTTATGCAATTTTTATTAATTCTTATTAACACATGAATAGGGTCCTTCTAACTGGCCTCTTTTCTATTTTGTCGTTTGCCTCTCCCATTTAGAAAAAATTATTAGATGTTTTCAAAATATTACGTCTTTATACTTTTTCATCAACTATTATTAATTATAATTTTTTATATTTTTCAATCATTCAACACAAAATTATAATATTCTATATTTGTTATCAATCATAATAATATCATGAAACATCACATAGTCGTACTCCCGAAATACCTAATAATTTGTAAGGGCTAATGTAAACTAGCTAAACATAATAAAACACTCTTTGTCTTGTTTCAAATTTTCTCTTCTTGGAGGATGTAAATTTAAAAAGATATAGTGGTTGAAAGTAGCTTGTAAAATAGAGATCATTTCGTTGAAAAACGAATAGTAATAAATGACTAGCTAAAATACCAAAAAAAAAAAAAAAAAAACAAACACATTTTTTTAATATATATTTTTTTGCTAGTTAAAATTGCTAAGAATATTGGAGATGCTATAAGGATATCATTTTGTGTTGAATCTGAAAGGACTAGTGTGTGTTTTTTACTCTCTTGCATGATTCATTTTTCTATAATCATCATCATCATATCATCTTACAATCATGACATGTTCTCATGCACATACCCTACATACACATGTACACTATGTATCTATCATACATTCATGTCATGCATGATATAAATTAAGGAGAGGGAGAGAGAGAGAGACAGAGAGAGAGCTGTGACTCTTTTAAATGTCTAGGGCAACAAATTTCATCCTCAAATTATTCTAGCACCTTTGGTTGCAAGAGTTTATGATCATCTACCATCTTCTAGACCATATATCTTCCTCTACTTTGGCTTTAGGTGATACCAAACTCAAGTCTTGATCATTCAACTAGAATTGGTTTTGTCAAATTACAAACCCTAAAAATATAAACAAAGATGAAGAGAAGTGACAGTGCTGAAGAACATTCAAAGACAATCTCTAGTAACAAGAATGAAGATGAGGATGAAGATGAGGGAGAAGAGGTCGACGATGATGACGATGAGAGTAAGCCGAAGAACCGGTCAAGCTCAAGCAACAGCACAGTTGAAGGGAATGAAAAGAAGACACCTTCTGGATCTGTAAGGCAGTATGTCCGGTCCAAGAATCCAAGGCTCCGGTGGACTCCTGATCTCCACCTTTGCTTTGTTCATGCCGTTGAAAGACTTGGAGGCCAAGATAGTGAGTATTATTGTAAATCCATCTTTTTATCGACCCTATTTTTTTTTTTTTTTTAAATCAGCCTTTTTATCAACTATATGATCATATGTCAGCTGATAAGTGTGGGAAAAATTTTAATATCTATAATTGACAAACCCTATTTACTTTTCAATTGTTGTAGGAGCAACACCAAAATTGGTTCTTCAATTGATGAACATCAAAGGCCTTAGCATAGCTCATGTGAAGAGCCATCTTCAGGTACTAATTACATACATGATTCAGATTAATAAAAACCTATATATAAGCCGTGGAAAATTTGTTAATATGTCTGCTTTAATTCAGATTGTCAAGATTCAATATGTATTAATAATTAGTACTTTTGGATTTGTTTTAGCAGATGTATAGGAGCAAAAAGATTGATGACCCCGATCAAGGTAAGATTCATGACTTCCATTCCATACCCCCTTTCAGTGAAAAAATTAAGGTTTTTATACTGTCTGATAAGGTTTTCTAATTCTTATCACTGCTCTATTCAACAAATATTTTTTCCCCTTTTTCTTAAGGTGTTAAATTATTAATCGTCATCTCATCTAAAAGCTTGAATGGTTAGAAACGAAAATAATTTAATTATTTATATCTTCGATACAGGGCAAGGAATTCAGTTTGATGGTAGGGACCATCATGTTTACAACCTTAGCCAGTTACCTATGCTGCAAAGTTTCAATCAAAATGCCAGTTCCAGTTTAAGGTATCAAACTTTTAAACTCCTATCACACTCTTTAATTGCTATATTGGTTTTTATGAGTTAAGTTCATCAATTCACATTTTTATTTTTTTAAGATATGGTGATGCTTCATGGAGCACCGGTCATCCCAAGATTCACAACCAAATTTATAGTATGGGAGGGTCTGCATCTAATGGAGCTAGACGTGGACCTTACTCTTCAACAGCTGAGAAGATCTTTGGAAGCATAGATAGAAATATTTCGCCAAATTACAATTTCCATATCCGAAATTCTTTCAATGGATTACAAGCCACCATGAAAACCCATGAATCCCAAGAACATCAGTTGCAACCACTTCAAACTCATGGATCATGGCAAACCCAAATCCGGCTCATGAATCAGCTGCAAAGTTCAGAGAAAATTTTTCTTTCCCTCGAAAAGAACCAGAATGTCATGACCTCAGAAGAGCAAAGCGCGGCGAAAAGAAAGGTCCCAGATGCAGATTGCAACAATCTTGATTTGAATCTATCTCTGAGAGTGACACAAAAAAATGATGAGTTTGGCAAAGGTTTGGAGGATGATCAAGAAGTTGATAGTAGTTTGTCTCTTTCATTGTTCTCATCTTCATCCTCATCAAAAAAGCATCGAAGATTAGAGGACAGTGATGGTACTAGGAAGCATGAAATAACAAGTAGTACTCTAGATCTGACTTTATGAATGAAGACAATTCGAAGTGAGATCCTGTGGTACTAGTTGTCATGTACTAGCATACAAGGTAATTAATGGTTTCCAACACTTATTCCTTTTGTTGTTATTATGGATTTGTTTTGTATGCATAATTGTTACATATTTAGCTTCAATTATTGTATATTTAGGAAAAGAAGCGTTTTAAATATCTGCTGATATTTATTGAGATATTAGATTTTTAATATTGATATAGATAATACTATTTATACTAATAAGTATTGCGATATAGTTATTTAAAATATCAGGAGAAAGATTAGTGATTTTGCCATTATTAAATATGGGATAATGGGTATCGATCATAAAGATACTATGGCTCTTCAATCCGAGTAAAAATTTGATCGAATAAAAACTATATAATAAGGATTATTTTACTGTTGTGATTTATTTTCTTGAACAACTTAAACAAATGATCTGAAAAACCATTTTAATTTTGCTATGTTCTGAACCTTGTCATTGGAAAAAGACAAAGATTTATTAATCCATAATATTCTCCATATAGAGTGTTTGTTTACTAGGGAGACAGTGGAACCTTATTGTGGGGGTTGATTTTTTATCTTATAACTAAATAAATTTCTTTACTAAAATTTAGGGAACTTAATTAGAGAACACGCGGAAGAATAAATTAAGTCAAATACTTACGCATAAGAAGATAAGAAATACCGCGGTGGCTGGTCCACCCGCACAAGAAGACAAGAAATACCGTTTTGACTTGTCCACCTAGAGTATTCTGACAATCAACACAGTAACTTATCTTATAAGATATCAACTCAAATATCAATGTATAAGTAAAAAGTATTTTTTAGACCCACGGAATGCTTTACTTATAGCTAGCAACCCTCGTCTCGTAGAAGTCTTACTTTATAGGACTTTATCCTTTACAATGATATCAATTATCCAAGAAGATCAACCCGTCCAATGTTACCCAAATAGAGAGTCTGTCATTATTTAGGACTTTAATCCTTCATTTGAACATCTTGGATTCAGATGTCGTTTGACCACACCTCGATTAATCAGAATCACCAATGTGGCACTTGACTAACCACTTAGGTCACATGAATAACTCAAAATTATATCCTACAACTGCCCCCTTGGCCAATGTTTTCTTTTTTTAGATCCACAATCTATTGAAAGTTTGTCTAAAGTTTGAAAGCATAAGTTGGCTATTCAAACAATCATATAAAATCACATGTTTTATTTTATTTTATTTTATTTTTTGTTGTTGTGGTTGTTGTTGTTGTTGTGTAAAAGAGTGTTAAATGTGAATGAATTGATAGAAAGAGTTTGGATTTTTTTTAATTGCTTTTCTTTTTTTGCATGAGATTTAAATCTATATATTTTTGATTGGACACGATATTAACGATCTTTTTTTTTTCTTTTTTTTCTGCTTCTATTTTTTTTTTTTTGGGGGGGGAGGGGGTCTTTCTTCATTCTTAATGACCCAAGAGATATAAATTTTAATATTTTTCTTCTTTATTCATTTTTTTGAGCATAAGTATTGTGTGAATTGCCTTGATTAATTTTACACTTTTTAAAGAAAATGTATTTTCTTCTCAAAATAATGTGATCTATAATGACAATAATCCATAGGAGGAGAAAATTTCATTATGCAAGGCATTGATATATATAGAGATTACATTTTTTGCCAATAAAACCTTCACTCTTCATTTTTCCCCCAAAGATTTTGTTTTTATTTTTTATTTTTTTGTATGACTAATAACATTATAACGATTGAGAGACAACAAATTTTCAAGTACTATTCTTTCAGCTTTTAGGACGTATAGGTTAGCATATGAAATGATAAGAGCATAAGGAAAAACTTTTGTTATTGCACTAAATTGATGTATTGCTATTCAATGTAGTTTTGTCTATTTCTTTTGTTATTCATTCTATCTGCACAAGGATCCAGTGATCAAAATCATTAATTACAATCTATTCATCTGTGACAATCATTTAACCAAAAAAACCTAGCCACATTAATTTTGTTTTTTTTCTTGATATTGGTCACTAGAACTGAACATTGGGCACGTTGGAGTCATTAGATGGCACAAAGGACCCATCTCTAAGTATGCTACTCCCATTATCCTTGAAGTGTTTGGTGAATGGATTCGGATTCTCTTAAGCACTTTTTCATCTAACTATCATTCAACAGTTGATTTAATGTTTAGGTCAATTGCTGGATGATGATTGGACGAAAAAAGTGTTAGAGAAGATCTGAATTATTATTGAAAGTCTACACAAACATAAATAAAATAAGAGTAATGTTATTCCCAAAAAAAGAAAAGAAAAAGAAAGACAAACTAAACTTCATATTGTTTAACTTTATGAAAATTCTATTTTGGTTTCTTACACTTTAATTGCAAAAATATGTACTAAGATTCAACCCTCTTTCACCGATTTTATCACTCGCTGTTTAAAATTTGGATGGAAAGTGTTCACGCAGCCGTTATGCCAATATATTTTAAGGACATTAGAGAGAGAGAAAAAAAATTATACAACAAATTACACTTTTCATTGTCTTCAAATTTTCTCTCAAAGTTTCATTTTGGTCTATTATTTTCCAACTTTTACCGAAATTATAAATGGTGGGTGATATGAGCACTACATTAAAACATGAGTTGAAATTTAATGACTTACTAGTGTGAGAGAGCAAAGTAAAATTCGGTGAAAGTTAGAACTTAAAAGCATAATTTATCCCAAAAATACAAAGTTAATATATGATAATACAACCTTTTACTCTTCAAGACGTCCTTTAATTACAACAATAATAATGCTACGCTAGTCGTTTTGATAGAAGATTTTGTAAAGAATATGAAAAGTACCATTTTTTTCAGAAAATATTCATGAAAAATGACTATAACTTAAAGTATTTGAAGAAATGATAATAGAAATCATTTGGTCACCAAATTAGTAAGAAATTAAAAGTGCTTCAATTTGAGCCTAAGAATCTTCTCTTCAAAAAAATTTCAAAGCACCTTTAAATTATTATATCATGTAAAAATTTTAACAGACAGTAATTTCAAGTTATTTTGAATGCGGCTTGAGTTTGGACCATGTCCAAGATGAGATTGTATATGTGACGTTCTATTAATCGACACACCATCCTTGAAAGGAGATAATTTCGAGCAATGGTTTAGAGTTTTTTGAGACAAAGGGATAGAATGATTCACAAGATCCAGAGCCCATCTTATGTCGCATTGATAAGGAGAAAAAGAAGAAAAAAAAAGAAAAAGAAAAAAAAACACCATTGCTCCACTAAATTAAAATCTATGCCACGTACTGAATTTTTTGGATTTTATTTTTCTTAATAACTAGCATTTTTGTTTGAAAATGCTATATTGCCCATGCCAATTCATTATAAAATTGAGTGAGGTTAGTAAATATTTGGTGCAATAATGATACCACGTGAGACTTGGGTTCTTTGTCATTCTTTCTCTTTAATGATCTTGTTGTAATTTTATCATAATCGATACGCATTATAAAAAATTAAAGTTTTAGAGTCCAAAATTTAGGAATGAAATTATTGTAAGATTATAGGATCTATATACTAGAAATCAAAACACTATGAATATAAGTAACTACTAAAATATAAACTTAGATACATACCGTTTGATTCCGTTATTGTCTTGAGTTTTGCTTCCTTGAAAGAATGTGGCATTCACAATTGAAAAACCTTAGCACCAGCTCTTCCCCTCATTCTCCTAATTTTTTTATTGTCTTTTCAATAGGGCTGACAACTCTTTAATCTACATATATATAGATATATGTAAACCCTAATAAGGATAGGAGAGGAGACTGGACTTAAATAAAACAATTACTGGGCCCTTCCATTAAGGAACCCAAATAACTTCAAATAGGCCTTACACCTTCATATCACATATTCACATATAAAATAATATATACACTAAGATGATTATGACCCAAACCTTATAGATGACAATAATAATTTTAGGCTCATACCAGTCAATCTATCTAAATCACGTTCAACCCGTTCTTCACAAACCAAACAAAATATATTCAATGATAGCCTAATTAAGAATAAATTCTTACATTCTCCCACTTAGGCAACATTGACTATCACTTTAAGAAAATATTTTATTTAAGAAAAAATGACTCTTGGGTTAAAAACTTTAGTGGCCACATAAACATGATTCAGAATAGAAATATCTCAGCACAGAATCCCGTTCAATGAGAAATATTAATATCGAACCGTAGCGGTAATTATGCTATTGAACAACATAACACCTTCCACAATTACAAACACTAATATCTCACCAACATGGATTCCTATATGTGATAAAGTGTAGTGTGAAATTTCAGCATAATTGATCTAAAAATTATATAACATGCTAATTCCACATTCAGTCCTTTGTATGGTCTTGACAAGACTCTGCAAGGAATTTTATTCCATTTTACACTTCCAAAAGAAGCCTTTATTCCTCTAAATCGAGGTCTTTCATGCTTTAAACCAAGCATCATACTCTATGGATCTATAGCGATCCCGGTTTTACCCTTATTGTACAGTGATCCGGGCATGTGTCCGTGGATGATAGTAATTGATTATTGTCTTGTTTACATCTGTTACTACTTTGTATATTGAGTTATAGGATGTGTTGGGCAGGTTTGTTACAGGTTGGTTGTGTTTGGGAGCCTAGTGCTACTGCCCAGATTTTTGGACCTTCGCTCGAGCGAGGAGTTGGTCGCTCGAGCGAGAGTTGAGTTCGTGTCTGGTGGATCGAGCCAGAGTGGCTTCGCTCGAGCGAGCGATTGCGTCTGGTTCTGGACCTGAGAGCTACATTTCTTGGCTCGAGCGAGTTTTCTTCGCTCGAGCGGTCTGGTTTGTTCTTCACTCGAGCGAGAAGTCTGTCGCTCGAGCGTGCTTCTGGTTGCAGACCTGAGGGTTTGAGTTGTTAGCTCGAGCGAGCATTCTTTCGCTCGAGCGCACTTCTGAGTTTTCGGCTCGAGCGAGAACTTCTTGGCTCGAGCGAGAGTTTTCTGTGTCTGGTCGCTCGAGCGACAAAGGTTTCGCTCGAGCGAGCGTGCTTTATATCAGCGGACAATAGCGTTTTTGAACATCAGTTTTTCACTTTCTTTTTCTTTCAAACCCTAGATCCGAGACTCTCTCTCTCTAAACCTACACTCTCTCTAAGATTTGATCTCCCTAGAGTGTG